AGGAACACAATCGGAAGAACTAGATGAAAATAAGCAATCCATGGAACAGTAAGAAGGACTGAGAAAATAAATTGCAATAGTAGAAAAATCAAATTGTATCCTTACTATGGTAAACATGAGTCATGACAGAAAGGAAATAAGAAAGAACAATCAATAAAACAGCACATCTACCTAGTACGAATAGTTAGCAGCAATATCAGACCATAAGAACCAGAGATCGAAGTCAAGTGTAGCTAAGTACATACTGAAATCTAACACAGTAACAACACTGGTTAGATAACAGCAAAAGAAAACGAGTAACGAAAAAACAGCAGAGAGAAAGTACAGATGAAGGAAAAAGTAAATATTGTTGATTACAAATCAAATGATGAAAGTTCACTTCATCGGAACAGAGTTGTAACCGGTCAAGAAAAACTAGACCGGTCCGGCAGGTCTAAAAAATATTTCTAGACCGGTAAAAACCGGCGATTTCATAATTTTTTTTTCAGCAAATAAAATTTTTATCTTGGTTAAAATAGGTACGTATACGAATCTTTGTTATGTGTTGTTAAGATGACATAGCTTGGTACATATAATTTCAATATCAGGAGACTAAGCTAGTTGGAAATGAAGCAGATTCTTGATGTGAAAATTCACACAAATGTGCTCAAATTTGAGTTCGTTCTGTGCGAAAAATGATTTCTTTCCACAGAACTCAATCTGTAATTTTTATTTCTTTCATTGTTATCATTCAAAATTTATGTGAAACAATATATATATACACGAAAACAAACAATCAAGTGCATGAATGGCAAAAAACAAAAAATATATATTATTACATATTGAATTTTAATTATATGAAGCCAATCGAAAAAAAAAGTAGTATTATTTTGACGTAGGCCACATCTTGTGCAAATATGCTTCTTTTAATACAACCAGTGATTCTACACATTCAGGATCTAGTTGGGACCTTTCTTCTATAACAATTTGTCCTGCCGTCGAGAAATGTCGCTCAGATTCTGCTGAGGACGCTTGTATAACAATACACAGATTTTGCAATGTTGGATAAAATCGGCAAAGTTTGTTGTTGTTCACGCCAAAATAATAATGCACTATTGTCTTGAGATAAGTTATACGATGTATTCTCATAAATTTGAATTTGTCGTTAAATATCTTTCGTAAATGAATCCACTGAAACTTTAATCGAAGCAGCTGTTGCTCTTCCACTACGCATTGTTGCAAAAGGATCTTCTTTCTTTTTTGTTATTGGTGGTGAATTAGTTTCATTTGATGATGATGATCGATTTAACTGACAAATAAGCCTGTTATGCATATCAGTTGTAGCTGCAGCAGGTCTCAACACACTACTATACATCTAGAAAAGACCAGAAACAATGATAGCAAATCAGTACGTGAATACTCATCAACATTGACATCTTAAATATAAACGTTTATCTATAAAAAATCAAAAACTGCACTTTTTTTTGAAACCTTTACAAATGTGTTTCAGCTATTCAAATTTTTTTTCGAGAAAGACTTCGACATGTTTCAAAAGTCACTTGAACAGTCTAAGTCTTGTCGTTAATGCCGTTTATCATCTGTTTCCATTGCTGAAAACTCAGGAAAA